CCACTGATGTTTCCCCAACAGTAGAGATAGGAACATGGGGTGTGTCAAGTGTGAGTGTCATGTACATACATACCGCTGATGTTTCCCCAACAGTAGAGATAGGAACATGGGGTGTGTCAAGTGTGAGTGTCATGTACATACCACTGATGTTTCCCCAACAGTAGAGATAGGAACATGGGGTGTGTCAAGTGTGAGTGTCATGTACATACCACTGATGTTTCCCCAACAGTAGAGATAGGAACATGGGGTGTGTCAAGTGTGAGTGTCATGTACATACCACTGATGTTTCCCCAACAGTAGAGATAGGAACATGGGGTGTGTCAAGTGTGAGTGTCATGTACATACCACTGATGTTTCCCCAACAGTAGAGATAGGAACATGGGGTGTGTCAAGTGTGAGTGTCATGTACATACCACTGATGTTTCCCCAACAGTAGAGATAGGAACATGGGGTGTGTCAAGTGTGAGTGTCATGTACATACCACTGATGTTTCCCCAACAGTAGAGATAGGAACATGGGGTGTGGTGTGAGTGTCATGTACATACAGCTGATGTCATGTACATACAGCAGAAACATGGGGATGTTTTCTGCATTGATTTTATATATCACCTTCTGTATAGTGTTGATGAGTATATCACCTTCTGTAGAGTAGTGAGTATATCACCTTCTGTATAGTGTTGATGAGAGTATAGAGTAGTGGTATATCACCTTCTGTATAGAGTAGTGAGTATATCACCTTCTGTATAGAGTAGTGAGTATATCACCTTCTGTATAGAGTAGTGAGTATATCACCTTCTGTATAGTGTTGATGAGTATATCACCTTCTGTATAGAGTAGTGAGTATATCACCTTCTGTATAGTGTTGATGAGTATAGAGTAGTGAGTATATCACCTTCTGTATAGAGTAGTGAGTATATCACCTTCTGTATAGTGTTGATGAGTATAGAGTAGTGAGTATATCACCTTCTGTATAGAGTAGTGAGTATATCACCTTCTGTATAGAGTAGTGAGTATATCACCTTCTGTATAGAGTAGTGAGTATATCACCTTCTGTATAGTGTTGATGAGTATATACCTCTCTGTATAGTAGTGAGTATATCACCTTTCTGTATAGAGTGGTGATTATGTATAGAGTCACCTTCTGTATAGTGTTGATGAGTATAGAGTGCAGTACATCAAGTATGTCACATTCTGTATGATCAGAGTGGTACAGGAGTATATCACCTTCTGTATGTCAAGTGCAAAACAGTGTTATAGTGAAAGTATATCACCTTCTGTATGACCCCATACATTCTAGTAGTGGGTATATCACCTTCTGTATAGTGTTGATGAGTCCACTAGAGTAGTGGGTATATCCCCACATTCTGTATCCCAGGGCTGTACCTTGAGTATATCACCTTCTGTATAGAGTCTACTCCCAGTGTATCTACCTTCTGTATAGGTAATTGGAGTATGTCACCTTCTGTATAGTGTTGATGGTGTAAGAGTGAGTGGTGTATCACCTTCCCTGTATCCCAAGGTGTTGATGGTATATCACCTGACCCCTGTATCCCCAGGGAGTGGTGAGTATATCACCTTCTGTATAGTGTTGATGGTGTACTGATCACCTTCTGTAGTGCTGCATGACCCCTGTGGCCTCCCACTCCCAGGGCTGTATAGGTGGGGTGTATCACCCTTCTGTATCCCCAGGGCTGTAGTGAGGTATATCACCTTCTGTATAATTGTTGATGACCTCCCCTGTATCACCTTCTGTATAGGGTGGTGTATTCTGTATGTCACCTTCTGTATGACCCTGTGTATCTCTACTCCACATTAGTCCCAAGGGCTGGGTATCCCAGGGGCTTCACCTTCTGTCCTCATGGAGTGGTGCAATGTATACTCACCTTCTGTATCCCAGGGCTGTACTGACCCCATGTATTCTACTCCCCCCAGGGTGTACTGGACTCTTGTATATCCCACCTTCTGTATAGACTCCCCAGTATGTACTGACCCCATGTATATCCCCAGGGCCTTCTGTATTCTACTCCCCAGGCTGTTGTATTCTACTCCCCAGGGCTGTACTGACCAACTGTACTCTCCCATGGTTCTCATGCATTCTACCCCAGGGCTGCACTGTTGTATTCCCACTCCTAGGGCTGTACTGACCCCATGCATCTACTCCCCCAGGGCTGTACTGACCCCTGCTGTAATTCCCAGGCATCATGTATCTCCCCAGGGGCAGATGTATTCTATCATGTACTGACCCCACTACCCCAGGGCTGTACCACCCCATATGTGCACTGACCCCTGTATTATACTCCCAGGGGGTGTACTGCTGAATGTATCTCTACTCCCATCCTGACCTGCAGTATTCCCACCAGGGCTGTACTCTGTGTATTCCCAAGGGCCGGACCCCATGTATTCTACTCCCCCAGGGTTACTGACTCCTTATTCTATTCCCCAGGGCTGTCTGACCCCATGTATTTCTACTCCCCAGGGCTGTACTGACCATGTGTATTCTACTCCCCAGCTTACTGGACTCCCCTCTATATCTAGGCTCAGTTAGTCTGGACCCCTGTAAAATATTCCTATCCCCAGGGCTGTATTGACCCCTTATTCTACCCCAGGGCTGTAAATGTATTCTCTATCACCAGGGCTGTACTGACCCCATATTCTACTCCCCATTGACCCCTGTATTCTACCCCCAGGGCTGTACTGACCCCATGTATTCTACTCCCAGGGCTGTGTACTGACCCCCATGTATTCCTCCCCCAGGGCTGTACTGACCCTGTGTATTCTACTCCCAGGCTGTACTGACCCCATGTATTCTACTCCCAGGGCTGTACTGACCCCTTACCCCTGTACTGACCCCATGTATTCTACTCCCCAGGGCTGTACTGACCCCTGTATTCTACTACCCCAGGGCTGTACTGACCCCATGTCTACTCCCCAGGGCTGTACTGACCCCTGTATTCTACTCCCCAGGGCTGTACTGACCCCTGTATTCTACTCCCCAGGGCTGTACTGACCCCATGTATTCTACTCCCCCAGGGCTGTACTGACTCCCATGTATTCTACTCCCCAGGGCTGTACTTGTGGCTGTACTGACCCCATGTCCCAGGGCATTATTCTACTCCCAGGGCTGTACTGACCCCATGTATTCTACTCCCAGGGCTGTACTGACTCCCATGTATTCTACTCCCCCAGGGCTGTACTGACCCTGTATTCTACTCCCCAGGGCTGTACTGGACCCCATGTATTTCTACTCCCCAGGGCTGTACTGACCCCATGTATTCTACTCCCCAGGGCTGTACTGACCCCTGTATTCTACTCCCCAGGGCTGTACCCTGACCCCATGTATTCTACTCCCCCCACCCCTGCAGATTCTACTCCCAGGGCTGTACTGACCCCATGTATTCCCACTCCCCCAGGGCTGTACTGACCCCTGTATTCTACTCCCCAGGGCTGTACTGACCCCATGTATTCTACTCCACAGGGCTGTACTGACCCCTGACCCCAGGGCTGTATGCATTCTACTCTATTCTCTCCCCAGGGGCTGTACTGACCCTGTATTATACACAGGGCTGTATGTATTTTACTCAGGGCTGTACTACTTACCCCCAGGGCTGTACTGACCCCCTTGTATTCTACTCCCCAGGGCTGTACTGACCCCATGTATTCCTACTCCCCCAGGGCTGTACTGACCCCGTATTCTATTCCCCAGGGCTGACCCCATGTATTCTACTCCCCAGGGCTGGACTCCTGTATTCTACTCCCCCAGGGCTGTACTGGACCCTGTATTCATGTATTCTACTACTCCCCCACTCCCCAGGGCTGGGCTGTACTGACCACCCTGTATTCTACTCCCCAGGGCTGTACTGATCCCATGTATGACCCCTACTACCCCCAGGGCTGTGGACCCCTGTATTCTACTCCCAGGGCTGTACTTGTATTCTACTCCCAGGGCTGTACTGACCCCCTGTATTCTACTCCCCAGGGCTGTACTGACCCATGTATTCTACTCCCCAGGGCTGTACTGACCCTCCCAGGGCTGTGATTCTACTCCCCAGGGCTGTACTGACCCCATGTATTCTACTCCCCCAGGGCTGTACTGACCCCCATGTATTCTACTCCCCAGGGCTGTACTGACCCCATGTATTCTACTCCCCAGGGCTGTACTGACCCCTGTATTCTACTCCCCAGGGCTGTACTGACCCCATGTATTCTACTCCCCAGGGCTGTACTGTCCCTGTATTATGACTCCCCAGGGCTGTACTGACCCTATGTATTCTACTCCCCAGGGCTGTACTGAACCTGTATTCTACCCCAGGGCTGTACTGACCCCATGTATTCTACTCCCCAGGGCTGTACTGACCCTACTCCCAGGGCTAAATTGACCCCATGTATTCTACTCCACTCCCCAGGGGGCTGTACTGCATTCTACCCCAGGGCTGTACTGACCCCATGTATTCTACTCCCAAGGGGCTGTACTGACCCCATGTATTCTACTCCCCAGGGCTGTGACTGATGTATTCTACTCCCCTGCGGCCACTGACCCCTGTATTCTACTCCCCAGGGCTGTACTGATGTATTCTACTCCCCAGGGCTGTACTGACCCCTGTATTCTACTCCCACAGGGGCTGTACTGACCCCCCTGTGTATTCTACTCCACTCCCAGGGCTGTACTGACCCCCTGTATTCTACTCCCCAGGGCTGTACTGACCCCATGTATTCTACTCCCCCAGGGCTGTACTGACCCCATGTCTACTCCCCAGGGCTGTACTGACCCCTATTCTACTCCCCAGGGGCCACTGTATTCTACATGTCCTCCCAGGGCTGTACTGACCCCTGTATTCTACTCCCCAGGGCTGTACTGACCCCATGTATTCTACTCCCCAGGGCTGTACTGACCCCATGTATTCTACTCCCCAGGGCTGTACTGACCCCATGTATTCTACTCCCCAGGGCTGTACTGACCCCATGTATTCTACTCCCACAGGGATGTACTGTATTCTGTCATTCTACTCCACAGGGCTGTACTGACCCCTGCGGTATTCTACTCCACAGGGATGTACTAACCGGAGTCTCTTGTGTATGCCACCTCCTTGTTGTGCCAGCTTGACCATATGGATGGTGGCGAAGGACACATCGTAGCCAAGGGTCAGGCAATATAGCAGCCGACTCAAGTTTTCTTTCAGCTGCTGTTTGAAAAATTGAATCATGTTTTCATTGTTGAAACCAGAGTAAGCCTAACCCTAAAATCAGAGTATCACAAGGCGAAAGGAAGCGAATAACTACATATTTTGAAGCCATCTGAACCATTGACAGATAGTTTGGAACAACAGCTTGAATGCAATTTTCTTTGTGGTGCATACAAAAAGTAGGACTTAGTACACATGCTGTTGGAACACGTGAAAAACAATGCCATTCAGACTCACTTGAGTTGGGTGGGAGATTTGGGTCAATATATCTCATCACAATAGGACATATGAAAGAACTTGATCATTTCATAGCTCGCCCTCGGCTATGCAGCTAATCCTGTTAGCTTGTCACAGCATAGAGTCAGCTACAATAGATCTAGACTGGTCCGTCATACACTGAGATATCAGGTTTAGTTCTTGTCACATTTGCATTTTTAATTATATTCACATTTAGTTCCCTTAGTTACTACATTAAGGAAAATCCACATTTAGTTCCTGGGCATACATTAAAGGAGATATACTGAATTGCAAATTTTTGAAATATGTTATAAAGGATCAAACAAAGTATACCTACACACAAAAAAGCCATATGTGCTTTCACTGTATTCTAGAAAGTAGCAAACAACAGCCCAACTGTGAGAGTCACAGTATATGCATATTGTAATGCAAGCTTCAGGCCAAGTTGGGGTGTGGCGTCATAGATGCCACATAGGTGCCCATTTTCCTTTGTTTACAGTGCTTATATCGAATTGTTTGATCAGCAGATCAGGTCAGATCTCATTTAAATATATAACTGTAGTAGATGCTGACAACCATATACACTGTTTATTATACAATCAGGATAACTTTATTGCATAAAGATGTGTTACACACTGATGATACAACTATTTTTTACATGTTTTTGCAAGGGGAAAATCTAACATGACAGGTATGTTTGAGTATAATACTGTCTCTAGTTTGTTGCTAAATAAATTGTGTGTGTTTCTTTTTGTGTCTCTAAAATATGTTAGTCCACGATATAATGAAAGATGGTTCTGTTATAGCATCTAATTCAAGACAGCTACCGTCCAAATGTTTCTAAAGATTAAAAACTATGTAGCCAAGCCATGTGAGACTAAATTGTAATTATTCAATCTGCATTCTTAATCCTTATCACTACCACAGTGTGCATTGTCTTGTCAGCCACCCTGTACCACTCTGTCACTGTCAATAATTACTATGACATTTATCAAATGTTTATAGCCTCAATTGGTCATCAATCTCGTGAAGATCTGGGGTAGAATAGGTCTTCAGCAACCCATGCTTGCTACAAAAGGTGACTATGCTTGTCATAAGAGGCTTACTTAACGGATCGGGGGTCAGACTTCTCGCTGACTTGGTTGACACATGTCATCGGTTCCAAATTGCGCAGGATCGATGCTCATGCTGTTGATCACTGGATTGTCTGGTCCAGACTCGATTATTTACAGACCGGCCATATAGCTGGCATATTGCCGAAAGCACGGCGTAAAACTAAACTCACTCACTCACTCAATTGGTCATCCCCCTTGGTCGTGGTCTGCCATCACATCAGCTGGTTCAAGGAAGTGCTATTGCTTTCCTATATGTCCATTGTTGAGTCTCCGTCTGTCCATTGTTGTCAACTGTAAATATGCTCACATCTATATTGTCAAGGAGTCCGTATTCGACTGTCTGTGTAGGGATGACCCATGAAGCAGGATAATCATTTCGTAGGGAAGCGTCCGGGGTTGAGCAGGAACTCCGGCTCACCTAATTTATGTTTATTTGTTTATGCCATGCCTTGTGTAACCAACTAAAGAAGTTTGAACTCAACTATGCCTTTGTCTTCGCCACGCACGCATACACTTCGCCTTTTAAATCTGAGCAAATTCGCCAGTCGACACATCTACGAAGTTGACAACTGGTTGAGAATCCGGGTGATGTGCAGGCCAGCAACAACAGCCATACTGACTGATATCTACTTGATATGTATCATTTCACCAGCAGTAACAAAAACTAGCAATGGAAAGTAGTTACTTTTCCCTGTGTTATGAGAGTGTGTTTTTCGTAATTTGTATTATCATTGATTAAGTGATAGTTATTATGGGTCACAATGTTTAGAGTTTTGAGTGTGAGTTGTGGGTCACATCTTGCATCATGTATATCATGGCAATACTATTTTTAGTGGTACGCCTTTATGATAGCGCTCCAGAATTGCCACCCTTGGCTTTATTTCTGTCTTGACCCGATCGTGACGTTCCACAGATTTCCATAAAAGTTCTCAGTGGATAAAGAACGTCTAGACTTTGTGTCAGTCTATATATAAAGGCTGGTTGTTGTGTTGACACACACACAGGGAAACGTCTAGACTCTGTGTCAGTCTATATATAAAGTTGGTTGTTGTGTTGACACACAGGAACTAACGTCTAGACTCTGTGTCAGTCTGTATATAAAGGCTGGTTGTTGTGTTGACACACACCTAGACTGTGTCAGTCTATATATAAAGGCTGGTTGTTGTGTTGACACACACACAGGGACTAACGTCTCCAGACTCTGTGTCAGTCTATATATAAAGGCTGGTTGTTGTGTTGACTACAGTCTATATATACAGGAACTAACGTCTAGACTCTGTGTCAGTCTATATATAAGGCTGGTTGTTGTGTTGACTACATAAAAAGGCAGGGACTAACGTCTAGACTCTGTGTCAGTCTATATATAAAGGCTGGTTGTTGTGTTGACACACACCAGGACTAACAATCTAGACTCTGTGTCAGTCTATATACTGGTTGTTGTGTTGAATTCACAGACTCTGTGGACTTTCATATCGGAATTACACGGGACTTTTCATATCACTGGATTTGTGTACACCCGTCTGTCATCGCCATCATCTGACCCTACCTTCATGACTGACACTCTGTGCCTGACTGCTCTCATTGTAAACAACCTTTGATTAGAATATCTGCTCTCATTGTAAATATCAAGGCTTTGTGGTGAGTCAATATTTCTTTTTGTGAGCCATTACTTTAGATTTGTGACTCAATTGCATTGTACTAAATATCTGTATTGTCGAATGTTATATTACAGTGTCATTTATTTATCTGTATAAAAATACTGGTTGCAGCTAGATGAACCAACGAGTGTTATATGACAGTGTCATCTATTTATCTGTATAAAAATACTGGTTGCAGCTAGATGAACTAACGAGTGTTATATGACAGTGTCATCTATTTATCTGTATAAAATACTGGTTGCAGCTAGATGAACCAACGAAAGTGTTATATGACAGTGTCATCTATTTATCTGTATAAAAAATACTGGTTGCAGCTTGATGAACCAACGAGTGTTATATGACAGTGTCATCTATTTATCTGTATAAAAATACTGGTTGCAGCTTCAGATGAACCAACGAGTGTTATATGACAGTGTCATCTATTTATCTGTATAAAAATACTGGTTGCAGCTAGATGAACCAACGAGTGTTATAAGACAGTGTCATCTATTTATCTGTATAAAAATACTGGTTGCAGCTAGATGAACCAACGAGTGTTATATGACAGTGTCATTTATTGTTGATCAATGTTGTAACTGAGTAACACTGTTTCTGTTTATATATAGTACAAGCTTGTAGCCTTGTGTTTTGGCAATAACTGGTTGTCAGGAAAGTATCACAAATCAATACAACTATTGGGGTGTAAGTTATTATATTTGCATGCTTTTTTAGTCCAATTTTGTAGAACAGCACAGACTGATCCCGGATAGTATGGATAGATGTATTTCACCAATATCATAATGCAAGCACATGCCTTTGTCAAATCACTGTCCATGAACACCAGTTGTTGATTCATGGTGCTTCACACTGGATATCCAGTTGATTCATGGTGCTTCACACTGGATATCCAGGAGTTGATTCGTGGTGCTTCACGCTGGATATCCAGTTGTTGATTCATGGTGCTTCACACTGGATATCCAGTTGATTCATGGTGCTTCACACTGGATATCCAGTTGATTCATGGTGCTTCACACTGGATATCCAGTTGATTCATGGTGCTTCACACTGGATATCCAGTTGATTCATGGTGCTTCACACTGGATATCCAGTTGATTCATGGTGCTTCACACTGGATATCCAGTTGATTCATGGTGCTTCACGCTGGATATCCAGTTGATTCATGGTGCTTCACACTGGATATCCAGTTGATTCATGGTGCTTCACACACTGGATATCCAGTTGATTCATGGTGCTTCACACTGGATATCCAGTTGATTCATGGTCAAGGCGCTTCACACTGGATATCCAGTTGATTCATGGTGCTTCACACTGGATATCCAGTTGATTCATGGTGCTTCACACTGGATATCCAGTTGATTCATGGTGCTTCACACTGGATATGCAGTTGATTCATGGTGCTTCACACTGGATATCCAGTTGATTCATGGCCCTTCACACTGGATATCCAGTTGATTCATGGTGCTTCGCACACTGGATATCCAGTTGATTCATGGTGCTTCGCCACACTGGATATCCAGTTGATTCATGGTGCTTCACACCTGGATATCCAGTTGATTTCATGGTGCTTCACACTGGATATCCAGTTGATTCATGGTGCTTCACACTGGATATCCAGTTGATTCATGGTGCTTCACACTGGATATCCAGTTGATTCCATGGTGCTTCACACTGATATGCAGTTGATTCATGGTACTTCACACTGGATATGCAGTTGATTCATGGGTGCTTCACACTGGATATCCAGTTGTTGTTTCATGGTGCTTCACGCTGGGATATCCAGTTGATTCATGGTGCTTCACGCTGGATATCCAGTTGAATCATGGTGCTTCACACTGGATATGCAGTTGTTGTTTCATGGTGCTTCACTCGGATATCCAGTTGAATCATGGTGCTTCACACCGGGATATCCAGTTGTTGTTTCATGGTGCTTCACGCTGGATATCCAGTTGATTCATGGTGCCTTCACGCTGGATATCCAGTTGTTGTTCTTCATGGTGCTTCACGCTGGATATCCAGTTGATTCATGGTGCTTCACACTGGATATGCAGTTGATTCATGGTGCAGTTCACACTGGATACCCAGTTGTTGTTTCATGGAGGCTTCTGCCACTGGATATCCAGTTGTTGATTCATGGTGCTTCACGCTGGATATCCAGTTCGATCATGGTGCTTCACACTGGATATGCAGTTGATTCATGGTGCTTCACACTGGATATCCAGTTGTTGTTTCATGGTGCGCTTCACACTGGATATGCAGTTGATTCATGGTGCTTCATGCGCTGGATATCCAGTTGATTCATGGGTGCTTCACACTGGATATCCAGTTGATTCATGGTGCTTCACACTGGATATCCAGTTGATTCATGGTGCTTCACACTGGATATCCAGTTGATTCATGGTGCTTCACACTGGATATCCAGTTGATTCATGGTGTTTCACGCTGGATATCCAGTTGATTCATGGTGCTTCACACGCTGATATCCAGTTGATTCATGGTGCTTCACACTGGATATCCAGTTGATTCATGGTGCTTCACACTGGATATCCAGTTGATTCATGGTGCTTCACACTGGATATCCAGTTGATTCATGGTGCTTCACACTGGATATCCAGTTGATTCATGGTGCTTCACACTGGATATCCAGTTGATTCATGGTGCTTACACTGCATATCCAGTTGATTCATGGTGCTTCACACTGATATCCAGTTGATTCATGGTGCTTCACACTGGATATCCAGTTGATTCATGGTGCTTCACACTGGATATCCAGTTGATTCATGGTGCTTCACACTGGATATCCAGTTCATCCATCTTTTACAACTGAAAAGTTTACAACATCATCTTCTGTTTTCTTTTGGTTGATATGTCATCGTCTATAAAACATGATACGCCTTATTTATGGTTGATAAACTTTTTTAGCTTGAAAAACGCTTATAAGTATCTATACTGAAACAACGCTATAAGTATCTGTACTGAAACATCACTATAAGTATCTATAATTGAAACATCACTGTAAGTAATCTATACTACACTGAAACATCGCTATAAGTATCTGTACTCGAAACATCACTGTAAGTATCTATACTATGAAACATCGCTATAAGTATCTATACTGAAACATCGCTGTAAGTATCTATACTGAAACATCGCCATAAGTATCTATATACTGAAACATCGCTTTATAAGTATCTGTAACTGAAACATCACTGTAAGTATCTATACTGAAACATCGCTTATAAGTATCTATATCTGAAACATCGCTGTAAGTATCTATACTGAAACATCGCCATAAGTATCTATACTGAAACATCGCTTATAAGTATCTATACCTGAAACATCGCTTATAAGGATCTATACTGAAACATCACTCGTAAGTATCTATAATTGAAACATCGCTATAAGTATCTATACTCACTGAAACAACGCTTATGAGTATCTATACTGAAACATCGCTATAAGTATCTATACTGAAACATCGCTATATAAGGATCTATACTGAAACATCGCTATAAGTATCTATACTGAAACATCGCTGTAAGTATCTATACTGAAACATCGCTATAAGTATCTATACTGAAACATCGCTGTAAGTATCTATACTGAAACATCGCTACAAGTATCTATACTGAAACATCGCTACAAGTATCTATACTCAAACATTGCTATAATGATCTATACTCGAAACATCGCTATAAGTATCTATACTGAAACATCGCTGTAAGTATCTATACTGAAACATCGCTACAAGTATCTATACTGAAACATCGCTACAAGTATCTATACTGAAACATTGCTATAAGTATCTATACTGAAACATCGCTATAAGTATCTATACTGAAACATTGCTATTGTACAGTAAAGAAGCTGATCATCCATAAAGACTTGTCATTCCTATTGCTTGCATCTTCTAGAATGGGTTAGGGTTAGGGTTAGGGTTAGGGTTAGGTTAGGTTAGGGTTAGGGTTAGGGTTAACCCATCTTCTAGAATGCCTCTCAAACAGTATAAAAGCATGTTCATCCTTTTTCATTCAACAGAAATACGAACTTTTGTGATGTGAGAAGACATAATAATGTGAATACAGGAATGTATAAATTAACTGACTCACAATAGACTGGTTCGGCTGAGAGAATCGCTGCTGCAGGAAGGACAACTCTTTCTTGATGATCAGTTCTTCATCCTGTAGAGTGAAACAATCATTATGATCATGACATTTACACGAAGGAGGAAGGATTCATAGCACAAGTATAGGGGCCTGTAGAGTGGAAACAAATCATTGATGATCATGACATTTACACGAAGGAGGAAGGATTCATAGCACAAGTATAGGGTCTGTAGAGTGAAACAATCATTATGATCATGACATTTACACGAAGGAGGAAGGATTCATAGCACAAGTATAGGGTCTGTAGAGTGAAACAATCATTATGATCATGACATTTACACGAAGGAGGAAGGATTCATAGCACAAGTATAGGGCCTGTAGAGTGAAACAATCATTATGATCATGACATTTACACGAAGGAGGAAGGATTCATAGCACAAGTATAGGGGCCTGTAGAGTGAAACAATCATTATGATCATGACATTTACACGAAGGAGGAAGGATTCAAAGCACAAGTATAGGGGCCTGTAGAGTGAAACAATCATTATGATCATGACATTTACACGGAAGGAGGAAGGATTCATAGCACAAGTATAGGGGCCTGTAGAGTGAAACAATCATTATGATCATGACATTTACACGAAGGAGGAAGGATTCATAGCACAAGTATAGGGTCTGTAGAGTGAAACAATCATTATGATCATGACATTTACATAACGAAGGAGGAAGGATTCAAAGCACAAGAGTATAGGGGCCTGTAGAGTGAAACAATCATTATGATCATGACATTTACACGAAGGAGGAAGGATTCATAGCACAAGTATAGGGTCTGTAGAGTGAAACAATCATTATGATCATGACATTTTACACGAAGGAGGAAGGATTCATAGCACAAGTATAGGGGCCTGTAGAGTGAAACAATCATTAATGATCATGACATTTACACGAAGGAGGAAGGATTCATAGCACAAGTATAGGGGCCTGTAGAGTGAAACAATCATTATGATCATGACATTTACACGATGGAGGAAGAATTCATAGCACAAGTATAGGGTCTGTAGAGTGAAACAATCATTATGATCATGACATTTACACGGAAGGAGGAAGGATTCATAGCACAAGTATAGGGGCCTGTAGAGTGAAACAATCATTATGATCATGACATTTACACGGAAGGAGGAAGGATTCATAGCACAAGTATAGGGGCCTGTAGAGGAGACAATCATTATGATCATGACATTTACACGGAAGGAGGAAGGATTCATAGCACAAGTATAGGGGCCTGTAGAGTGAAACAATCATTATGATCATGACATTTACACGAAGGAGGAAGGATTCATAGCACAAGTATAGGGGGCTGTAGAGTGAAACAACTCATTATGATCATGACATTTACACGAAGGAGGAAGGATTCATAGCACAAGTATAGGGGCCTGTAGAGTGAAACAATCATTATGATCATGACATTTACACGATGGAGGAAGGATTCATAGCAGTAAGTATAGGGGCCTGTAGAGTGAAACAATCATTATGATCATGACATTTACACGAAGGAGGAAGGATTCATAGCACAAGTATAGGGTCTGTAGAGTGAAACAATCATTATGATCATGACATTTACACGAAGGAGGAAGGATTCATAGCACAAGTATAGGGGCCTGTAGAGTGAAACAATCATTATGATCATGACATTTACACGAAGGAGGAAGGATTCATAGCACAAGTATAGGGGCCTGTAGAGTGAAACAATCATTATGATCATGACATTTACACGATGGAGGAAGGATTCATAGCACAAGTATAGGGGCCTGTAGAGGAAACAATCATTATGATCATGACATTTACACGAAGGAGGAAGGATTCATAGCACAAGTATAGGGTCTGTAGAGTGAAACAATCATTATGATCATGACATTTACACGGAAGGAGGAAGGATTCATAGCACAAGTATAGGGGCCTGTAGAGTGAAACAATCATTATGATCATGACATTTACACGATGGAGGAAGGATTCATAGCACAAGTAAGGGGCCTGTAGAGTGAAAACAATCATTATGATCATGACATTTACACGAAGGAGGAAGGATTCATAGCACAAGTATAGGGTCTGTAGAGTGAAACAATCATTATGATCATGACATTTACAACGAAGGAGGAAGGATTCATAGCACAAGTATAGGGTCTGTAGAGTGAAACAATCATTATGATCATGACATTTACACGAAGGAGGAAGGATTCATAGCACAAGTATAGGGGCCTGTAGAGTGAAACAATCATTATGATCATGACATTTACATGAAGGAGGAAGGATTCATAGCACAAGTATAGGGTCTGTAGAGAGGAAACAATCATTATGATCATGACATTTACACGATGGAGGAAGGATTCATAGCACAAGTATAGGGGCCTGTAGAGTGAAACAATCATTATGATCATGACATTTACACGATGGAGGAAGGATTCATAGCACAAGTATAGGGGCCTGTAGAGTGAAACAATCATTATGATCATGACATTTACACGAAGGAGGAAGGATTCATAGCACAAGTATAGGGGCCTGTAGAGTGAAACAATCATTATGATCATGACATTTTACACGATGGAGGAAGGATTCATAGCACAAGTATAGGGGCCTGTAGAGTGAAACAATCATTATGATCATGACATTTACACGAAGGAGGAAGGATTCATAGCACAAGTATAGGGGCCTGTAGAGTGAAACAATCATTATGATCATGACATTTACACGATGGAGGAAGGATTCATAGCACAAGTATAGGGGCCTGTAGAGTGAGACAATCATTATGATCATGACATTTACACGAAGGAGGAAGGATTCATAGCACAAGTATAGGGTCTGTAGAGTGAAACAATCATTATGATCATGACATTTACACGAAGGAGGAAGGATTCATAGCACAAGTATAGGGGCCTGTAGAGTGAAACAATCATTATGATCATGACATTTACACGAAGGAGGAAGGATTCATAGCACAAGTATAGGGGCCTGTAGAGTGAAACAATCATTATGATCATGACATTTTACACGAAGGAGGAAGGATTCATAGCACAAGTATAGGGGCCTGTAGAGTGAAACAATCATTATGATCATGACATTTACACGAAGGAGGAAGGATTCATAGCACAACTATAGGGGCCTGTAGAGTGAAACAATCATTATGATCATGACATTTACACGAAGGAGGAAGGATTCATAGCACAAGTATAGGGGTCTGTAGAGTGAAACAATCATTATTATCATGACATTTACACGAAGGAGGAAGGATTCATAGCACAAGTATAGGGTCTGTAGAGTGAAACAATCATTATGATCATGACATTTACACGAAGGAGGAAGGATTCATAGCACAAGTATAGGGGCCTGTAGAGTGAAACAATCATTATGATCATGACATTTACACGAAGGAGGAAGGATTCATAGCACAAGTATAGGGTCTGTAGAGTGAAACAATCATTATGATCATGACATTTACACGAAGGAGGAAGGATTCATAGCACAAGTATAGGGGCCTGTAGAGTGAAACAATTTTTTTAAATATCAACAAGAAACTATTTGCTTTTGTGTAACCTGTACATGTTATTGCTTGGCTCAAACTTTGGCCTCTTTCATATTGATGGCCACCTGCTTGAAGGAGACACAGACAACTCAATCAGAGGTGTGATTGATCTGGGTGATTGACAATGTCGTATTGCGGTTTACCGGTATACCAGTAATACCGTGCAGCCCTAGTAACGCCATCAAAAAAAGTCACTAACAGGGTCTTAACATCTGTTTATATCATGTATAAAATGTTAAGACCCTGTTAGTAACTGTAAATAATTGTAATGTTACAAAATGCCATGTAAAAATGACTGGTTCGTTAAAGTGAAGCCCTTGTCTCTTTCCATTCACAACATAGCCCCAATCAAATGTGTTAAGTTTTTGTTCAGCCCGATTTGGCCTGGGCTCTCAAAAACAACTTAAACCTCACAGATGTATCCAGAATTGTTTCCAAATTCATACTCATTGTTTAGTAATATATCTACCGAATTATCACTGCATAGATAGAGTCTCAAAGCGTAGTATTTGAATCAAACACGTTACTCAACGTGAAGCCCTCTTTTCTTACTTCTCAACAAAGACAGTGGATCACAAGTGTTCGGTCCAGCTTAGCCTGGGCTCTCAAAAGCACCTTAAACCTCACACTTGTATCCTGATTTGTGTTGAAATCCATAGACTGGTATTATATCTACCTAAATACCTCTTTATAGAGTCTCAAAGTGTAGTATTTGAAGCAAACATATTGCTCAAAGTGAAGCCCAGTGTTCTGAGTCTGGAACTGCGTGGGCTAATGAAATTAATACACCTGTTATTTACACCTGTATCCAGCTTGCTTAATTGCCCCTTTTTTGAATTGCCATCAACTAGGTGTTGTGTTTCAATCAACATACCCCAATGCGGCAAAGTCAGAAGCCTTCGGTGTTGTTGAACAGTCCATCATTTCTTTAGAACGATTTTTAAGGATGGGTATGTAATCACTCACAAAATTAAAAATGCTAAAATGAGACATGTTTACTGAATGACCATATGGTGTGACATGTTAAGGTTATATGATCTGAGCATACGAAAGTATGAAAACAAATCCACGGCCATAACATTGGGTTGTCCAGCTCAGGATCAGGAGCTTTGTTTGGTTGAGACTGGTCATGTCCTCCTGTATTTAAACAAGCTCTGTTTGGTTGAGACCGGTCATGTCCTGCTGTATTTAAACAAGCACTCTTTGGTTGAGACCGGTCATGTCCTCCAGTATTTAAACAAGCTCTGTTTGGTTGAGACCGGTCATGTCCTCCTGTATTTAAACAAGCACTGTTTGGTTGAGACCGGTCATGTCCCTCCTGTATTTAAACAAGCACTGTTTGGTTGAGACCAGTCATGTCCTCCTGTATTTAAACAAGCACTGTTTGGTTGAGACCGGTCATGTCCCTCCTGTATTTAAACAAGCACTGTTTGGTTGAGACCGGTCATGTCCTCCTGTATTTAAACAAGCACTGTTTGGTTGAGACCGGTCATGTCCT